TGCAGCAGGAGAAATAAGACTTTTTACCCTTGTCTTCTTTCTAAGAGCAAGAAAACCTTTCCAAGAAGAACTTTACATTCCATAAACCACATCTTATTGACAGAACTAGGACAGAATGCTTCAAGAAGGATTTGGACTAGATCACTGTTAGTTGCCTGCGGGCTGTAGCATCAAACTTGTTGATATAAAACAATGGAAATTTATTCTGTCACAGTTCTAGAGACAAGACAGCCAACATCAGTATCATTGGGCCAAAATCAAAGTGTCAATAAGCCCTACTGACACCATAAAGCATATTCCAGGGAGCCTTTGCTCCCTTTGGGAGTTCTGCGGGTGGAAGACATTCCTGCCTCTTCCACCTTCTGGTAGCTGTTGACATTCCTTGGCATGTGGCCACATCATTCCAGTCTTCAAATCTCTGCTCCATTTTCATATTGCTCTCTGTATATCTGTGTGAAATCTCCCTTGTCCTCCCTCTCTTTTTTTTAAAAAGATGGAACACTTCGTAAATTTGAAAGTCATCCTTGCCCAGGATCCATGCTAATCTTTTCTTTGTCATACCAATTTGAGTATATGTGCTGTGCAAGTAAGCACTGCCTCTCTCTTGGAAGGACACTTGTGGTGGCATTTAATGCCCACCCAGGTATTCCAGCATAATTGATTCATCTCAAGATCCTTAATTTAATCACATCTTGAAAGACCCATCTTCCAAAGACCTATCTGCTGACACTGGGAGCCATTATTCAACCTACTACAGTCACAGAGATCTTTCATTGTCCAAGTGAAAAAACATTGATATTTTCTAAAGTCAAATAAGGGAGGTGTGAGTCTAAAAGCATTAGAATTCAGCCAGCAGGGAAAAATCCAGGATATGACTATTGGCTAGACAATCATCGGTATCTCTAAAGCATGCACATGTGCAGCTATTGGGCTTAGCAAGAGCTAACAATAACTTAAGAAAAAAATTTTTATGAACTAAGGTAGGAAAAAACTTTTATTTGTAGATTGGTCACAGCACGGGGAGTGAAATGCTTTTGTGCATAAAAAAAGATGAAGAGACAATACACTAAAAAGTTCCTAGTTTTCTGGAGGTGGTAGGAATATAGGTGACTGACTGTCTTTTCTCTCCTTTTTTGTATTTTCCAAAATTTTAATGAAAAGGAAACATCAAATTAAAATATTTTTATTAACAAATCAATAGGATTATATTGTTAAATGATAATACTGGAGGTTTTTAAAGATGATTACACTTTTTTGAATCATGTGACTTACTTTTTCTATTTCATTTGTTTACTTCATCATGAAATTACACAGAATAACCACAGATTCCACCCAAATTCTTCTGCTTTCAAACAGATCTAGACCCCCTCAGCTTGTCCCTAGAGTTGTCTTTCTGAAACATAGATCCATCTATGTTAGATCCTATTTACTGTAAGATCTATTAGGCTTCTCATTCAAAACATTTAATGTCTGTTGCTTTAAAAAATGTCTTTTATTTTCTTTTTTGCTTAACTTTGGCACTCAGAGTTCTCCACTACCTCGTCCAAATCCTTTTAAAATCCTCAACACCGGATACCCACTACATTTAATTGTGTACCCCTTGCTCCCCCACCGCATGCCAAGCCTCTCATGCTCTTCTTCAAGCCTGGGTCTGACTCAGGGGGTCTCACTGGGCTCGCAGGTGGAAGGGCAGCTTCACCTTCACCTGGAAGGGTATTAGAAATGCAAATTCTCAAGCCCCACTCCAGACCTACTGAATCAGAAACTCTGCTGATGAGCTTATTAATGTAAATTTAACAAGTCCTCTAGGTCATTTTGGTGTATGCTAGAGTTTGAGAGCTTCTGGGGTTGCTCCCCTTGTCCTACTTTCTTTGTTACTGTATTCTTACACCTGTGGCAATCATAATTGCTAGAATAACCACTATATTATTCTTCCTGGAGAATTAATTTGTAGATCAATTTTATAAGCCTATATTATGCGAGCAATTGGCCTTCTAAATGAATAATATACCTATATGCCTATGATTTCCTTGCTGTGTCAGCCATTTTTCCTTTAGGTAAACTTTCCTTGTCCTGTTTTTATGTATTTTATGCATTCAAGTCAGTGAACCAGGGCAAGAATTAACACCCTTTCTTAATGATCCTCTGGGTCACTTACTCTAAAATCATCAAATGCCTGCTATGAGCCAGGCATTTTGCCTTCGATTCGGAGCTATTCTTTCAGCTGTGGTCCACTGAATAGGCCTGAAAGCACATGACCATCCCTCTGTCTCTCCTTCCTTCCTCAGCTAAACCAAAAACAGGCACAGAAAAATTATGACCAGTGTGGCTGGAGGCCCAAGAGAGACACCCACCAACTTGGCTTATAATTTTAAAACCTTGGGCAGATCATCTTTCCCCAGTATCTTGCATTCAGTGGAAATGGTAAGGGTTTTTTCCCTTGCATATGTGGCCTGTCATGAGCAGGAGTTTATGAGATTCTATAGAGCTGTGTGGTGAGGGAGGGCTCAGGTCCTTTTTTCCGCCACTGACTTCTGAAGGAGATACATTTGACCTCTGATCAGCACCCAACCCCATGCCTGGCACATAGTGAGGGCTTAATAAACAATTGTTGGATAAATGGAAGAAATAATGGAAAAAAGGATAGAAAGAAGAAAGGAAGGGACAGCAGGAAGGAGAGAGGCAGAGAGGAGGGAAGGAAGGAGGGAGGGGCCAAGGGAATGAGAGAGGGAGGGAAAAAGGAGGGAGGCAGGCCAGTAGGTGGGGAAGTGCTTAAGGGAGACAGGCAGAAATGGAACTCTAATGCCTAAACCTGTGCCACATGTATATATAGATGAATATGTTCTAACAGTAAATTATTCAGTTTGGTTCCCTCCCTGGAGGATGTTTTCAGCAGTTCCTCCCATGTGCAAAGGGCGAGGCCTCTCTGAGAGTTTGAGAAAAGGGCTTTGTGAATTATAGAGCAGAATGCAAATGGTGATTAACTAAGGCGGCAGCAAGCAAGGGCAAGTCCCTAAGTAGTCGCAGGAGAGACTCTTTTGCCTCTTTTTGTCATTTGAGATTTCAAAACTGTCCTCAGCTTAGACCAAACCAACCTCAAACTTTAATCTATGATTAAAATTTTCGCTCTGAATATCTGCGCAACTTAGGAATTGTAGAAACTGGACCACCTGGAGATAATTCATAAATAATGTTGCCTGGTAGCCATGTCTGGGGAGGTTTCTCTCTGTGCACCAGGGGAACCTCAACCTAAACAGGGGAGGGTTCTTGACTCTGTAAGAGAAAGAATTCTCAATCAGGTCAGACAAGTATAGGTAAGGAAGGAACGGCAGCTGCCTCGCAGGCAGCAGAGAACAGGAAAGTGCAGAGGGAAAGAGGGAAAGTTCTCAGCCTAGGGCAGATTCCCTTGCCAACTCTTAAAGCCAGGGACACCTGGTGCCCTGTGTCTGCTTGCATCTGCATGGCATGGGGATAGCCCCTACCACCCCAGGATTGGGGGAGCCATGGAGCATGGGATGGAGTGAGATTATGTTCTGAGAACTTCCCAAAGAAAGGAGACTTTCAGGCAGTCTACTAAGAGCTGATCGCACAGCTGCAGTTCTGTCTGGGTCACCCAGGCAATGGAAACTTGCAGACCCAAATCTGAGCTCTCAGCAGCCCCTTCCTACTTATCAGCTGTGAAATGGAGACTTGGAAATGGAAAAAAAAGAGCAAAGAGATAAAACACAGTAAGTTGAGCAGTGAAAAAGCTTTATTTAAAACTACGCACTTAAAGAAAGGAAAGTGTAGGGGTCCTTAGAGAGGAGGTGCACTGAAAGACTGGAGATTCTGTCTTTTTAAGACTTTCAAAAAGGGGCAAAGGGCGGGGTGGGGCAGTGCTTGTTGGGCATAGGCTTGACTTGTGGTCTCAAGATGCTTACCTCTGGTGAGAGACACTGTGTCTCCTCTCCTCTATCATTAGTCCTCCAGCTAATTTGGCTAAGTAAACTTAACACAAGGAATTTATTGATCCTGCTCTTCTCCAAGATAGTGGTTACCCTCAAGCAGTTGGGACATATTAGTTAAGACCGCCTGCCCTGCCTTAAGATTGGGTGGGTTATTGTCTGATTACTAGAGGATATGTTAGCAATCTTGCTTCTCAACTCTTATTTTTTTAATGGCATCTTAGCCTTAAGATAGGGTCCCTCCTATTCTTACTATACTGTTTATATCTCAGCATTTTTCATGATAGGCAGGACAAGTCATCATGATGCTTGTCCCATGTCCCTGCCCTACCTCATTAACACTTGCTTTCAAATCACTTCTGTCTTCCCAAAGAGCCCTGGTCCTGTCAGTGGGACTACTGCCAAGGCTCTACTGATAAACTGGGCCAGCAACACTGAAGTCACTGGTGGGACCTTCTGACTCCTAATTCTTTTAAGACTTTGGGATGCTTCATTGAAACATTTTTACCCTCATGTAAAATGGAAGCTAAAATTTATTGGCTGTCTTTAAGTTGGGAAAGGATTTCAGGATTCACTCAGCTTTTACTTTGTGTAACTGTGGGGGGAAAATGTGTTCCCAGCCTGGGACAAATTAACCAAGGAAACCTATGAAACCGAAATGGGTCAAAGGAAAAAATAAAGTGGGAGAAACCTGTTTACTGCTTACAATAAGTCATCCGCTCCTGCTCGCCCATGTCTCTCCCCATCCTGGCTGGATTAAGGAGCGAGCAGCTTCACTCTACCCCTTGTAAACACCTATTGATACGGAGATGGGCTAAGGCCAGAAGAGAGATTCTGGAAAAATTGCAATTTTACCCACATTTGTCTATTGCTAAAATAATTGAAACTCAAATCAAATACTAAATTGAACCCAGAATACTCTGGATACATAGCAAGTTTTGGGGGGTTAAAAAATGACTAAGCCCACTGCTCCTTTTCCCCTGAATCCTGTTGCCACGAAAGGGAGCCCTTTAATACCATTGTTTTCTTTCCCTGTGTTTCAGGTCAGCCCGAGGCAGCAAGGCTGAGCCACCGCACTGCATCTCTGAAGAGCTGGTCCAGCTGTGTTAAACGTATGGTGGTGCTGTGTGGGGCCGAGGCAGACAAAGCCATGCGGAGTTGACCAGACTGGGTAACCATCCCTGTCACCATGTGTTTATGGGGTTGTTGAAAGGGTATCTCGCTGCGACCCTCCTTATCCCAGAATGACTCAGGAGACATGGGCCCACACAAGAGATTTTATTATCTGAAAGAGAAAATGGCTGTTCCCAGAGAGAGGGAGCAGCAGCTTGTGGGTGAGGAAGCGCATTTTTAAGGAGTAAAGGTAGGGTGTGTTCTGCGTTGGTGATTGGATCTTAAGGGGTGGGGGTCTTGGCATGCCAGAATTTGCCTTCAGTTGTCATGTTGATATTCTTTCCTTGCCTCTGCTGAACTGGAACAATTGAAGTCTCATGTCTGCTGAAACCCTGGGATTATGATATGTCTCCACAGACCTCATTATTGCTTAGGGAGAGGTGGAGCTTAAAATGCTCAAATTCGAAAGAAAGTCCTGCAAACTGTGATATCTGTTTTTCTAGCAGACTTCCACCAAAGTCCACTGCCCACACCCAAAATGGATACACAGCCCTTCCCTGCCTGGGGCCCGTGGCTCTAAGTTTATTCATTTGGTAAAGTTTCACATTGCTTCTGGAGAACCTACTAATGGTGAGGACAAAATTGACTGGTGCAGGAAAGCCATAGTGAACTCACAGCATGAGAAACAAGTTTATAAAGCAGGGCTTTTCTGGAGTTGGGGTGAAACTTTTCTATTTGGGAAATATCCAGTGTAACACACAGAGCTGTGCTATTTCAAACATCATGGGTATGGTGTACGTATGGAGACAGAGCACATGGGGGAGACTGTTTGGCTTGAAGACCATCTGGAAAGGTAGTTTGATAACAGGACTCATCTTTCAGCTGTCCTTTGTATGGTCTTCACACCTTTCCTTTTGTTCCCAGACATTTTATAACCTTGGTTTTCTAACGGGGAAATCTCCTAGGGATATGTATTAGCATTTCTAAAAGGAAATGTAAATGGATTTTGAGAAAATATCCATCTTTCACATTATAATAGAGTTCCATAATTTGGGAACCTATATAATGCCACCGTTCCCATAATATAAGCAAAGAAAGTAAAGTTTGACAAGTTTTCTTTGCCAGAGAAAATGAGACCCAGTGAAGATTCACTCTGCATCAGTGAGTCTTCAAAGGGGATACCTCTTGGGGGTGGGGTCTCATCTCCCTATGTGGGTCACATCAAGATCTTATTGGGTGGTCCAGCATAACATTTTTGTTTATAAAACAGGACAAGGATGTTGTTTAAGGTTTGGAAACACTTCTGGGCCAAGATAGTAACAGGAAATGCTGGTATCTCTCCTGTAGGATCAGACTTCAGAGACAAGAGTCCCTCTGCCAAGATAGGAGCAGCATATCCAGGGCCTGTGGTACAGGATCCAGAAGAGAAAGGTACATGCTGTGTGGGAAGACAGTCATGGTTCAACAGCACAGGCTTTGCTTCATTGCATAAATACTGTTGCCCTAGCAAAGAGGATTGGGGGTAGTGAGTCTAGCAAAGGGCCTCAGCATGGGGGTCCCAGGACCTGCAGAGCTGGCAGCCAGGGGGCTACATTAGCTTTCCTCAATAAACAGTCATAAAGCCTGTGGGGAGGGACGAGGGACAGGAACTGCTTCCTAATCTCCACAGACATGCCTTGGACAGGGGGTGGGCGCAGAGGCCCCACCTGAGCAAGAAAACATCGGAATTCATTCCTGGAACTCTCAGCAGGGAGGCAGTCTTCTGTAGGCAGCTTCCTGGTGTCACTTCTACAGAGCCTTCTGTACCCCCTCAGCTGCATTAGTCCCACATTCTTCATGGGCAATGTTCTAGAGAATGAAAAGAGTGAGCTGATTACTGCATCAAGGAGAAAAGCAAAAAGAGTGAGTTGAATAAGAATTAATACACAGGAGACAGTATCCGAATCATAGCAAGGCCAATCTAGTAAGTGAATTTTAACTGAAAAGAAGAGAAATCCCAGTGAGCAGTGCCAAATGCCATAAAAATCAGCAGGTCCTATAGCAGAATGAGAAAAATGGGATAACTGGGTACAGTTTTGTTGGAAGAGTTGGAAGGACCCTGTGCTAGTGAGAAGATCTGGCCTCCCCACCATGCTATAGGCAGGGATAGCGAGCAATACGAAGAGAGACTAAGCTGCAGAAAAGAATGGGTGCCACTGGCAAAGAAACGATTGAACATCGCGACAGAGTTCCTAAGGGCTTGCAAGAGCGAAGAAGGGTTGGGGGAATTGTAGTCCAGAGAATTCCTTGGTGGTAGCTCCCCATTTAAGACCTTAGAGTTTGCTCTTCCAAGCTGATATATAGGAGACCTAGAGAGGGGGCTAACTGAGTACATGGAGTAGGGACAGAAATCACAGGGTATCCTGAGACACTGGGACAGGAAGGAACAATAATCTCTGGCACAATTTTGGTCAAAATGTTAACCAGCATGAAAATGCTAGAGCTTGGGGCAAATGAGAAGAAAGGATGTGAGACATAAATAACAATTTATTGGAAATCACAATAAATAAGCTCTTCCTCCACTCTCACTAAGTAGCTTGGGACATTTGGGAAAGTAATGTCTCCAAGACTAAGTTCCTTCCCATGTAGAATATGAGAGCTGAAACAGGTGGTGCCTAGGGTCTCCTCTTATCCTGCCAGGCTGTGAATCTTGGGTCCTGGGTAGTTCACAGACTGGAACACTCTATCCAAGATTTTCTCAAGCAAATACTATTTGTCTGATGTGACCTCAGCCAGTAGCATGACCCTTCTCATCCCAGGTAATATCTCCAGTTAGAAAATGTAGGGGATGGATTCTTCTGGAGTGGACGAGAGACCTCACTGAACAGTGTTGCTTCCCCGCAGCCCTGTGTTTACCATGTGTTTGACTCAGTTCCAAGCCTCTCCCACCTCATCAATTCTGCCTCCCAAGAAACGTAATGACATTCATCTGGCTGTGGCACTGGTGCCCAACCAAGCAAGCCATTGTGTCATTAGAGAGATCCAAATTCTGATGCTAAATCCATCGTCTCAGAGAAAAACTACTGAGAGTTTCACTTGGCCTTTGAGTCCTGTGATCAAGCAAAGTGTGTCAGGTAAACTGTTACAGGATCTTTATAATTACACTGCTTTCACTTTGGAGTCCAAGGGGAATGTCACAAGTGTTGGAGTCTGACCTCTGGGCCACCTAGGCCTTTCCTACATCATAGATGGTCTCATATTCAAAAGGAGAGGCTGGATTTTTGTTACTCCCCCAACAGCAGTGGACCTGGCGCCAGGATGTTTGGGGTGCATTTGATCTCCTCTGTCTCTTCTGGAACCCAGTAATAGTTCATTCATTCACTCACTGAGTGTCTGTTGTGACTGTGGCACTGTGTGGGATACTATGACAATTATTCTTTGGGTGTCCCTTTAAGGTATATTTATTTGATCCTTTAACCCAGGGGTCAGCAAACCACAGCCGTCTGCCTGTTTTTGTATAACTGCATGTGGTTTGAATAGTTTTTAGATTTTTAAACAGTTGAAAAAAGAAATAAAAACAGTAATATCTGTTAGATATGAACATTTTATTCAATTTGAACTTCACTGTCTTTAAATAAAGCTGCAGTAGACCATAGCTGGGGCAGGCAGAATTCTAAATGACACTCACCTTTGTATAATCTCCCCTTAAATGTGGATCAAATCTATGAATATAATGACGTCTCACTTCTGTGATCATTACATAATAGATGAAAGGGATATTTGTCAGTATAATTAAGGTTACTAATCAGTTGACTTTGGCTATTTCAATAGGAAATTATCCACATGGGCCTAATCTAATTATAGGAACCCTTTAAAAGTAAAGAGTTCTCCGGCTGATAGTAGGAGAGGAAGTTAGAGTGTGCTCTAGGTGGCCTGGAAAAAAGCAAACAATAATATTATGAACTGTCTATGAGAGACTTGAGAGAGGCCTCTAAGAGCTGAGAGTGGCTCACATACAGCAAGGAAACTGGGACATCAGTTCTGCAGCCACAAGGACCTGGATTCTTCCTACACCCTGAATGAACTTGAAAGCAAATGCTTCCCCAGAGCCTTCAGATAAAAGTTTCCCCAGCCAACACCCTCATGTCAGCTTGTCAGACCCTATGTGGAGAACTCAGCCATCCCACCCAGCCTGCTGACCTACAGAGCTAGAAATAATAAATGAGTCTTGTTTTAAACTCCTGAGTCTGTGGTCACTTGTTACACAGCAATAGAATAGAAATACAACAGCCATGCTCATTCATATGCATATTATTTATGATTGCTTTTGCACTATATTAGCAGAGTTGAGTAGCTGCTACAGAGACCTCATGGCCCACAAAACTTAATACTTTCTATCTGGCCCTTGACAGAAAAATTATATCAACCTTTGCTTGTAAAAAAATATTATCTCACTTCGGATGTGGTTAATGAGAGTTTTGTACCTTACCCGAGGATTGCAAGAAACAGGATTTACATTCGGATACATTCAACAAACATTCCTTTCATCAGGTTGAAATAGCCCAAGAAGGCAGGAGACACCAGACTGTCCTGCAGACTCACTCTCCAGTTTTTAAAAGGTTGAGGAGAGAGACACAAGTGAGAGTGTTAATATATTTAAGGAAAAACATTAGAAGAATGTGTACCATACACATATCAGAAGCTGTCATTTTCTATATTATAAATTTCCATAATTGTTGAATTTATGTGATAAACATGTATTAAATCAGTAATAATTATAGCCTTATCATTTTTAAGGGGTCCATTGTGCTCCACTGTGTGCTCCTTGGGGCAGGGACATAGAGGAGTGAAGGAATGAAACGGCTGCTTTGTGATCAGAATTTGAATTCACTCCACTGGTTTTGACTTTTCCTTCCTTGATGTGCCTCCTGACTTCACAGTGAGTAAGCCAATTCTTCATCTACTAATATTGGTTATGTAATTTTAACACACATAAATTTCAGCATCTGCTAATATTGGGGGAGTAATTTTCGACCATTTTAGAGTTATAACACCTTCCAACACACAAGACACACACACATAAGTGAAAAGATACAGCATGGTACAGATTCAGCTTTAAACTAAGTTAAAATCCATACTATTCTGAGGATTGGAAGGAGCTGAAGAGGGTGTGTTAGTATCCTCAACCATAACAAATTACCACAAACTAGGTAGCTTAAAAACAATGGAAACTTAATTCTCTCAGTTTTGGAGGCCAGAGGCCTGGAATCAAGCTGTTGACAGAGTTGATTCCTTCTGGATGCCTGTGGGAGAATCCGTTGCATGCTTCTCTGTAGCTTCTGTGACTGCTGACAATCATCAGAGTTCCCTGGGCTTGTAGCTGAGTAACTCATCTCTGCCTCACATGGCCTTCCCCTCTGTGTGTCTGTGTTTCAAATTCCTTCTGCCTTTCTCCTATGGGACCCCTCTCATTGAATTTAGGTCTAGCCTAATTCCAGAGCAATCTCTTTTTAAGATGCTTAACTTAATTACATCTGCAAAGACCCATGTGCCACATAAGTTTGCACTCACAGATATTGAGGGCTGGAAATTGGACTTATCTTTTTGGAAGCCACAATTCAACTCACTCCAGAAGGAATTTAGCATGTTCCTAGAGCTGATGGGGAAAACTCTTTCTACATCTCCTAAGTAGCAATTGAAATTAATAAATCAGTCCTACATTGTCAGAAGAGTTGTTTTGTTTTGTTTTTCTCATGGGGTTTTATGGATACTCAACCCCTTCCACCATGTTCCTGTGATTACAGACTGTACAATTCCTCAGTGGCAAGGCGTGAGAGAAACTAAACCTTCACCATTATTGTATATGGGTGCCCCCACCTTGTCTTACCCTTTTCACCCATCTGGACAATACCCAGGATGAAGTAATATTAGGAGACAAAAAATCAGAGTTGTTATCTTCAAGTGTTAGGTCCAGAATCAAATCCTGTGGTGTCTTTCAGCAGCTGGAAAATTGTGCTCTCTAGAAGAAGAGTATGGGTCTCTCTGGACACAGGTCCATGCCACTTATTGTCCATTTGGCCTTGAGAAAATCTGATGCTCTGATCTGGTTTCTTTCTCTGTAAAGAAGGCATAACAATGCCTGGCTACCTTTCCAGGGTGTTGTGTGAATTTGCTGACACCCATAAAGCTCCCTGAAAATGAAGAGGCTTACATAAGTCCCTGGTATTATTCACACAGCAAACGTTTTCCCCTGAGAATAAGTAATAAATGGTACCATTGTGCAGCTGGTGGAACGTGTTCAAAAGTTTCCGCTCACAACTAGTAGATCAAGTTGTGGGTGGTTGTATGGACTTTCTGTGCTCACGCCAAGCTACATCCAAAACAGCCGGCACAGCAGGCTGTCCTGGAGTGAAAGGCTGTACTGTAAGAGACGGCCAAGTCATGGCATCACATCACATAGGGTAGTCCTGTGTAGCCAGTGACTTCATATGCACCTTTCCTCACAGCAGAAAGGAGAGAAAGCAGGAAGTGGCCACATGGATATCAAACATGGCAGCAATTGAGAGGCCACTACGAACTTCCCAAAGCTAAGGATGTTTGTTGATTGTGGTGGATTATAATTGTAGCTTTCTTCTTTCATTCTTTCTGAGTGCTTGGACCAGGAAAAGCCAAGGTTCTAAATCAGATGGAGTGTTCAGGTTAAGGCCCTGTTCTCTTTAAATACAGTTCACTTGAGTGGGAACAGTTCGGACAGCATGCTTCTGGTTGGCAAAGGAGACAGAAAAGGATCTCCTTTCCACCATGAAAAGCCCTGGAAAACTTTAGGACATGTTACAGGGAAAATGCCCTCCCTCTTTTAGCAAGATCTGGGACTCAGCCTTTGGATAGCCTATCCGAGAAAATGACAGATATAATGACAGATATTTTAATTATATGAGAGGAAAATTAGCTACTGAAGATACTGCATTTAATTTTAAAATGCAGTCATATTCAATTAGAGATATTTGGGGATTACACTAATAAGCTGACTTAGATTAATGCTACCCTTTGTAGTGGTACGTATTCTCACATCTAAAAGCTGAGGAATCACAAAATTATGGAATTTTTTATCTGTGAGTAGCCTACCTTGATATGAAATGATTTGATAACTTTTCTAATCCCATGGACAAGGTGACATTTTTTTCCTCTTTCTTTTCAAGGGCAACCATGGGCAAAAAAAAAACTTGAAGTTAGTAAGCTTAAGACAACAAAAGTAGAAAAGAAGATCCATCTAAGTACCTAAGTTTTAAGTTAGGCAAAACCTTTAGATCTTAATGCAAAGGCTGTGGAGAGGTACAGTGCAACCCACAGATTACATAGGATTTCATCAGGTCCTTCACTCCTATACTCATCACATTCTGTTTTCAGAGATTCTTTCATTTTTCATTCAGTTCCCATTTATTGAGCATTAATTTGTATGCTAAGTGTTAGAGGTGAAAGATGAAAGTCAGTCACTGCCTTTGTGAAGACCCTCACTGAGACAAGAACAAAGTGACAAGTGTCACATGGAATCAAGGTGAGACCTGTAATAACTGAAGGGAATTTCATCATGGTGCCTTGCCTTGAGACGTGACATTCAAGGTTCTGGCACTTTCTAGTGACTTGTCTTTCTCCCTGGAATGCCTTCTGTTACACATGTCAGGAGATCCAGGAGAACTGTGAAAACCATGAGAACTCAGAGAACTGTGAGAACCAGGAGAACCAGAGAACCAGGAGAACTGTGAGAACTATGAGAAACAGGAGAACCAGAGAACCAGGAGAACCGTAAGAACCAGGAGAATCAGAGAACTGTGATAACCAGAGAACAGGAGAACCATGAGAACCAGAAGAAACAGAAAAACGTGAGAACCATGAAAACCAAGAGAACAAGAGAACCAGGGGAACCATGAAAACCAGGAGAACCAGAGAAATGTGAGAACCAGGAAACCAGGAGAACCAGAGAACCAGGAGAACCAGAAAAACGTGAGAACCACGAGAACTGTGAGAGCCAGGAAAACCAGAGAACCAGGAGAACCGTGAGAACCAAGAGAACCGGAGAACCAGGAGAACTGTAAGAACCATGAGAACAAGAAGAACCAAAGAACCAGGAGAACTGTGAGAATCAGGAGAACCAGAGAACCAGGAGAACCAGAAAACCATGAGAACCAGGAGAACCAGAGAACTAGTAGAACCAGGAGAACCAGGAGAACCATGAGAACCAGAGAACTAGGAGAACCGTGAGAACCATGAGAACCAGGAGAACCATGAGAACCAGAGAACCAGGAGAACCGTGAGAACCATGAGAACCAGGAGAACCATGAGAACCAGAGAACCAGGAGAACCGTGAGAACCATGAGAACCAGGAGAACCTGAGAACCAGGAGAACCGTGACAATGAGGAGAACTGGAGAACATTGAGAACCAGAGAACTGTGAGAACCAGAGAACCAGAAAAACGTGAGGACCAGGAGAACGAGAAAAACGTGAGAACCATGAGAACCTTGAGAACCAGAGAACCAGGGGAACCACAGAACCAGGAGAACCGTGAGAACCATGAAAACCACAGAACCAGGAAAACTATGAGAACCAGGAGAACCAGAGAAGCAGAGAACTGTGAGAACCAGAGAATCAGGAGAACCTGAGAACCAGGAGAACCGTGAGAACCAAGAGAACCACAGAAACAGGAGAAACGTGAGAACCAGGAGAACCATAAAAATGTGAGAACCAGGAGAACAGTGAGAACCATGAGAATCAAAGAACGAGAAGAACCATGAGAACCAGGAGAACCAGAGGACCAGGAGAACCGTGAGAATGAGGAGAACCAGAGAACAGTTAGAACTAGATAATGTTGAGAACCAGGAGAACCAGAGAACTGTGAGAACCAGGAGAACCATGAGAACCAGGAGAACCAGGAAAACTGTGAGAACCAGAGAAGCAGGAGAACCGTGAGAACCCAAGAATCAGTAGAACCAGAGAATAGTGAGAACTAGAGAACCAGGAGAACGGTGAGAACCAGGAGAACCTGGAGAATGGTGAGAACGAGAGAACCAGGAGAACTGTGAGAACCAGAGAACCAGGAGAACCGTGGTCAGAGACCCCATCACTCATTCTCTCCAAGGTCAGATGAGCTTCAGTCACTCCCTGGAGGGTGCAGAGCAGCACAGGCCCACTGGGCAGAGGTGGCATCTTGTTTCTGGGGAAAGCATGCACAGAGCATGGAGGACACTGCACGACTATTTCTGCTTGACTAGATCCACCTACAGGCACTTTAAAGTCGCCAAAGTTTCTTCATCAAGGTAAAATCTGGGGACCCAAAGGCTAGGCATGCTGATCTGTGGAGATCAAGTTCAGAGGCTCTGAAGGAGCTGTTTGCCTGAACAGAGCCAACCATGCTTGTGAGCCTGAGATACAATCATCTGAATGCTGCTATAGCCTGGTTTTCTGATAAACTTTGAGGAAGCAGAGACTGGTATCTCTGGTGAATTCCCTGAGCCCCAGATCACAGGGGGCCTGCCGCTTTCATGTCAGTCCAGTGGCCAGAGGCCAGGCCATCTGAGAAAAGAAGGGAGGAGATGTAGAGATCGGCTGAGCAGAGGGAAGTGCATTTTTCATTCTGTTCCCAGAGTTTGGGTTCTTCCTTCATTCGTTTCACGGCAGACTGTGTTAGTTACTTATTCTATATACAGCCCCTTTCTTCTTCCTAATTTTGTACAGAATGCTCAGTTACCTTCTTGCTTTCCTACTTTCACTGCTGGCAGAACCTTATGACATAACCTGAGCCAGTGAGATGTAAGCTGAAGCCAGCTTGGGACTTTTGGAAAAGTGTTTGCTTCTTGATAAAAAGGGTCCGTGTGTTTGGCACCACTCTTCCTGTCACCCCTTCTTTCTGCCTTAGATGTAAGCATGTTGTCTGGAAA